CGATGCATCAAGTCTGGAACCAACAGGACCCTGAACAGCTTCTAGCCCTAAGCCATAAGACTGCTAAATAGTTAGTTAAATAGTTAACCAATAGCTACCTGGACTATTTTATCATTTTTGCACTTACTCTTTTGACTCATCACATACGCTGCTGCTACTGTTTATTATCTATCCTGTTGCCTAGTCACTTTATCCCTACCTACAGTCGTGGTCAAAAGTTTTGAGAATGACTTCACGAAATTTGCTGCTTCAGTGTTTTTAGATATTTTTGTCAGATGTTACTATGGTATACTGAAGTATAATTACAAGCATTCCATTACTGTCAAAGGCTTTTATTGACAATGACATTACGTTTTTGCAAAGAGTCAATATTTGCAGTGTTGACCCTTCTTTTTCAAGTCCTCTGCAATCTGCCCTGGAATGCTGTCAATTAAAATGTGGGCCACATCCTGACTGATGGCAGCCCATTCTTGCATAATCAATGCTTGGAGTTTGTCAGAATTTGTGGGTTTTTGTTTGTCCACCCGCCTCTTGAGTATTGACCACAAGTTCTCAATGGGATTAAGTTCTGGGGAGCTCCCCGAGCCACTTAGTTGTCACTTTTTCATTATGGCAAGGTGCTCCATCGTGCTGGAAAAGGCATTGTTCGTCACCAAACTGTTCTTGGATGGTTGGGAGAAGTTGCTCTCGGAGGATGTGTTGGTACCATTCTTTATTCATGGCTGTGTTCTTAGGCAAAATGTTGAGTGAGCCCACTCCCTTGGCTGAGAAGCAACCCCACACATGAATGGTCTCAGGATGCTTTACTGTTGTCATGACACAGGACTGATGGTAGCGCTCACCTTGTCTTCTCCGGACAAGCTTTTTTCCGGATGCCCCAAACAATCGGAAAGGGGATTCATCAGAGAAAATGACTTTACCCCAGTCCTCAGCAATCCAATCCCTGTACCTTTTGCAGAATATCATGTTTTTCCTGGAGAGAAGTGGCTTCCTCACTGTCCTTCTTGACACCAGGCCATCCTCCAAAAGACTTCGCCTCACTGTGCGTGCAGATGCACTCACACCTGCCTGCTGCCATTCCTGAGCAAGCTCTGCACTGGTGGTGCCCCGATCCCGCAGCTGAATCAACTTTAGTAGACGGTCCTGGCGCTTGCTGGACTTTCTTGGGCGCCCTGAAGCCTTCTTCACAACAATTGAACCTCTCTCCTTTAAGTTCTTGATGATCCGATAAATGGTTGATTTAGGTGCAATCTTACTAACAGCAATATCCTTGCCTGTGAAGCCCTTTTTGTGCAAAGCAATGATGACGGCACGTGTTTCCTTGCAGGTAACCATGGTTAACAGAGGAAGAACAATGATTTCAAGCACCACCCTCCTTTTAAAGCTTCCAGTCTGTTATTCTAACTCAATCAGCATGACAGAGTGATCTCCAGCCTTGTCCTCGTCAACACTCTCACCTGTGTTAACGAGAGAATCACTGACATGATGTCAGCTGGTCCTTCTGTGGCAGGGCTGAAATGCAGTAGAACTTTTGGGGATTAAGTTCATTTTCATGGCAAAGTGGGACTTTGCAATTAATCTGATCACTCTTCATAACATTCTGGAGGATATGCAAATTGCCATCATAAGAACTGAGGCAGCAGACTTTGTGAAAATTAATATTTGTGTCATTCTCAAAACTTCAAAAGTTTGGACACACCTACTCATTCAAGTGTTTTTATTTATTTTTACTATTTTTTACATTGTAGAATAATAGTGAAGACATCAAAACTCAGAAATAACACATATGGAATCATGTAGTAACCAAAAAAGTGTTAAACAAATCTAAATATATTTTATATTTGAGATTCTTCAAATAGCCACCCTTTGCCTTGATGACAACTTTGCACACTCTTGTCATTCTCTCAACCAGCTTCATGAGGTAGTCACCTGGAATGCATTTCAATTAACAGGTGTGCCTTCTTAAAAGTTAATTTGTGGAATTTCTTTCCTTCTTAATGCGTTTGAGCCAATCAGTTGTGTTGTGACAAGGTAGGGGGGGTATACAGAAGATAGCCCTATTTGGTAAAATACTACGTCTATATTATGGCAAGAACAGCTCAAATAAGCAAAGAGAAACAACATCATTACTTTAAGACATGAAGGTCAGTCACTACGGAACATTTCAAGAACTTTGAAAGTTTCTTCAAATGCAGTCGCAAAAACCATCAAGCGTTATGATGAAATTGGCTCTCATGAGGACCGCCACAGGAATGGAAGACCCAGAGTTACCTCTGCTGCAGAGGATAAGTTCATTAGAGATACCAGCCTCAGAAATTGCAGCCCAAATAAATGCTTCACAGAGTTCAAGTCACAGACACATCTCAACATCAACAGTTCAGAGGGGACTGTGTGAATCAGGCCTTCATGGTCGAATTCCTGCAAAGAAACCACTTCTAAAGGACACCAATAAGAAGAAGAGACCTGCCTAGGCCAAGAAACACAAGCAATTGATATTAGACAAGTGGAAATTTGTCAGTTTGTCTGGAGTTCAAATTGGAGAGTCTTTGTGAGACGCGTGTTGGTGAAATGGATGATGCTGCATGTGTAGTTCCCACCGTAAAGCATGGAGGAGGAGGTGTGATGGTGTGGGGGTGCTTTGCTGGTGACACTGTCTGTGATTTATTTAGAATTCAAGGCACACTTAACCAGCATGGCTACCACAGCATTCTGCAGCGATACGCCATCCCATCTGGTTTGGGTTTAGTGGGACTATCATTTGTTTTTGAACAGGAAAATGACCCAACACACCTCCAGGCTGGGTAAGGGCTATTTTACCAAGAAGGAGAGTGATGGAGTGCTGCATCAGATGACCTGGCCTCCACAATCCCCCGACCTCAACCCAATTGAGATGGTTTGGCATGAGTCGGACGGCAGAGTGAAGGAAAAGCAGCCAACAAGTGCTCAGCATATGTTGGAACTCCTTCAAGACTGTTGGAAAAGCATTCCAGGTGAAGCTGGTTGAAAGAATGTCAAGAGTGTGAAAAGCTGTCATCAAGGAAAAAGGTGGCTATTTGAAGAATCTCAAATCTCAAATATATTTTGATTTGTTTAACACTTTTTTGGTTACTACATGATTCCATATGTGTTATTTTATAATTTTGATGTCTAAACTATTATTCTACAATGTAGAAAATAGTACAAATAAAGAAAACCCCTTGAATGAGTAGGTGTGTCCAAACTTTTGACTGGTACTGTATATGTACATATCTACCTCAATTACTTCGTACCCCTGCACATCGACTCTGTACTGGTACCCCGTGTATATTCATTGTGTATTTACTCCTTATGTTACTTTGCTATTATTTCAACAACAACAAAAAATATCTCTGCATTGTTGGGAAGTGCCCCTAAGAAGTTCACTGTTTGTTTACGAAGCATGTGACAAATACAATTTGATTTGATCAAAATTAATATCCCTCAGAGTTATAGACTGAAAACACCTATCTATCTAATATCCTACACATCCTGTTCTATTGCATTGTTATCGTCTTTCAAAAATATAAATGTACTTCTATATAGAGGGTGTTGTTATCCGCTATCTAGTGTTCTCTTTAAAGTTTAAGTATCACTGTGTGTGGAAATTGCACATTCATCATTTCTAAGTTTTCCCAACAATCGTTTTATGTTAAATGTAATTGCCTAATTAGGAAAATTACTAATATAAGTTGAATACTGTAGATGTTATATTGCATAACCCTCTCGGCCAGTAATTGACTTCCATGTTTCTATTTCTCAGGTCTGAAATGTGTTTAAAGGATAGACACGTCAGAGAAATGGAGGAGAGGTTCTGTTTTTTGGTCACGTCCGACCAAAAAGCGATGCAAATTTATCAACACGGACTGAAGGTTGAGAACACAGATCAACACTCTCTGGGAAACCCGTCAATATCAGTGGCAACACACCTGCTGGAAAAATCCTCATCATTTTCAAGGTTAGATGGAAATACTTGTCAATATGATAATTGTTGATAAACCTAACCCCCCCCCACAAAAAATAGATATAATAAATATATTAAATAAAAAAATATCTCTATTCAACAAGCAAGTAAAACATACACTTTTGCTTTTCTTCCTAAGGCTCTCTTTGGCAAGGTGAAAAAGGTACCTAAATTTTTCGGAAGAAACAGCATACATGATCTGACTGTGAATTACGATTGTTACATGTCCAAAGACTCCGCTGCCCCCCGGGACAGCTTGTCTCAGCAAGTCTTGAGCTCATCTGTAAGTTAACTCCTTTAGTGGCCCGGCTGGTCTAGTGGTAAATCCATAGCCTCCAGCACATATATTTATGGTGTCGGCATAGGTTCGAATCCGGCTTACTGCCCTTTGACACAACCTCTCTCCATCTTTCCCCACTTACATTCTCTATCTCCACAATAAAATATATTTTCAAGTTTTAAGTTCACTACTCTTGACCATGACTTGATATGTGACCAAATGACCATGACTTGACACATTCTCTGTTTACAGGTGTTCCTGTTTGACTACAATGAAAACCAGGAGCTAAAATTGAGACCAAGGCAATGTTTGCCATATGCTATGGTTTCATTGGTTCCTGCTGTAAATACTTCTCTGTCCACATCGACTAGCACTCCAGTTCAATCTATAATACTGGGGCCAAAGACAAAGGGTGTGGAATTACCATAACCAGATTAAGTGTTTAAATTACTAGATTCCAGCACATATATTTCATCAGCTGATGATCCATGTTTTATATTGAATATACACAAACTATAGGCTATGTAGTATTAATGTTTTTTGTTTCATCCAATATTTCATCCTTTACAGATTCAGTGGAATGTTTGGCGACCTGCACATTGGCACAGAGAGTGGGAAGAGGACAGAATGCGTCTGTGACATTCAAACATTTTGGGACAACTGAAAGTCATACGCCGGGATACAGAGTTGATCAACAAAACTTCCAAAACATCACATAAATCCCAGGCCAATCGTATCACAATGGCAGCGACCAGGTCCCACCACCCTTTAGTATTTGCAACCAGCCTCCACCATCCTATAGTACCTGTGACCAACCTCCACCACCCTTTAGTCCCTGTGACCAACCTCCTCCACCTTTTAGTCCCTGTGTCCAGCCCCCACCGCCCCCATCACCCTTTAGTCCCTGTGACCAACCTCCTCCACCTTTTAGTCCCTGTGTCCAGCCCCCACCGCCCCCATCACCCTATAGTCCCTGTGACCAACCTCCACCACCCTTTAGTCCCTGTGATGAGCCTCCACCACCCTATAGTTCCTGTGACCAACCCCCACCACCCTTTAGTCCCTGTGATGAGCCTCCACCACCCTTTAGTTCCTGTGTCCAGCCCCCACCGCCACCTCCACCCTATAGTTCCTTCGACCAACCCCCACCACCCTTTAGTTCCCGTGTCCAGCTACCACCGCCTCCACCACCCTTTAGTTCTTCTGTCCAACCTCCACCACCCTCTAGTCTCTGTGTCCAGCCCCCACCACCCCCATCACCCTTTAGTTCCTGTGACCAGCCTCCACAACCCTTTAGTTCTTGTGTCCAACCACCATTGCCTCCACCACCCTTTAATGCCCAGCCCCCACCGCCTCCACCTCCCTTAAGTTCCTGCGACCAACTACCACCAACATGTAGTTCCTGGAATCCTCAACAACCCTTGACCCCATTTAATTTTCTGCCACCATTCATTGGTTCAATTCCATTCCTGGAGGACAATGAACTGGTTACTGACCCTATGCATTTACAGACCCCAAGCTATGCTGGAATAGCTCGAATTGACCTAAATAAACTCCACTCAGGAAACCAAGTCCAGTCTTGTCAACAAGTTCTGAATACTCTATCCACGAACCAGGATAACTCATGGCAACAGTCTACATCTGCAACAGGTACGTTGGAACCGGTGTCTACTATAGTTTATTCTTCACGTGTGATTAAGGATCCCAGATTGTAGGCACGAGAAACTAGCAACATGCAGAGTTCGATTTCCATGGAGTCAGAGAGGGGTCAACAAATAAGTACCTCTGTCTGCAAATTGAACGAGAAGCCAGAGCATAAGTATCTCCAAGATTTACCAAAGCAGGAGAAAAAGATCAGGGAAACTGGAATTAAGAATGATCCAAAACCATGCCAACCTGACACACCAAGAGGTTGTTCTATTGGTCCTTTGGTGAATAGTTCAGTTGCTTCCTCTGTGATACCCACAACTGATAATCAGCCATCGTCTAGAATGCTTAAAATGAAATTCCAGAAGTCTTCTACATATTTTCATCTGACTAAGGAGGAGAGGAAGGAAAACATTTGGTCTCTACAACATCTGTCATTTGATGAGAAAAATACATTATTAGAGAGAACCAATTTTTATGCAACCTATTTTCAGAAGTCCAAGTGTCTACTCAATCAAAATGACAAGGTCACCATGGCAGATCCTGGGCGGCTATGTAAACCAGGAAGTGAAAACATTTGCTTGTCCAGCACAGACACAGGGGAGATGTGCAACAGTAGTCAAAAGACTCATGGGGACAGTAGTGCATACATGGAGCAGCAGGTGAGACGACACAATCTGCCCCAAAACATAACAAATGGTGATCAGAATTCAAAAGTTATACCAGAAATCTCAATCCATAATCTATTATCTGTCTGTGGGGCTGTGGAGGAAAATGTGGCACTCCCACTTGAGAGGAATACAGACAATATGGAACCGGAGGATATTAACCTTTGCAGCCCTGAACCCACCACTACATTTCTCACAAAAACAACGGAAGAAGATGGGCACAAAATCACTGTGGAACAGCAAGATGAAACCGCTATGAAAAATGACACACAGATTCCATTCCATCCCCAGACTGTCAACCAAACTGCAACATCTGAAAGCAGGCAGGACACAGAGGTGAGGTCCAATCTTAACTCAGTAACAGAGCAAAAACCTCAGGATGCTCTAAATGCAAACTCGGATGCAAGCAGACGGAACACAGAGGCAAGCTCCAAACTAAATTCAGTAACAGAGGGAAAAAGCCAAGATACTGTACCTATAATCTCTGAGGGAAGCAGACAGATCAGAGAACTGAGGTGTGAACCTATCTTAGCAACAGAGGGAGAACCCTCAAATGCTCTAGTGGTTGACACAATGGCGAACGGAAAATCATCAGAACCAAGGTGTCCAGTCATTTATGAGAGCCATACTGATATCATGGATTCTTGTGAGGAGGTTCATGATATGGAAATATCTGAGGAAGTTGTGAGTGCTGATGTCTTTCCTGGAGTCAAGTCAAGTCAAGATCATGAAAGGCTTGTTCAGAAAAACAGAGAAGGGTATGGAACTGGCCAAGATCAAGAAAAGGAATCTAAGACATATTCTACCTGTGATGGCATAGCTGATAATACTGAGGAATGTCAGGCTGATGATTCACAAGCCAAAGATACAGTCTACAGTTTTCTATATAATAGGCTGCAACTCAGTGAGCTCTTTCTTTCACCTAATCAAAACGGAGCATGCTCATTTCCTGATAAACATTACCTTAAACCAAAATGTAAAGATAGACCCACGGACACCAATAAATCAATCCTTCGGTCCTACAACCCAAACCAAGTAGATAGGGGAGAGGGATGTAACCTTCGCATCACAATAAATGCTGACAGAGAATACTCAGCTGTCACAGAATCACCCTCTTTGTCCAAGATATTTTCAGTGTCGGAATGCCCTCCAGAAACTCAAGCCTCACCAACTGTACAGGAAAATGAAAAGCTTACCAACAACAGCAATATCACTGAAAACACACCCATTGACGGTGTTCTGAAAGCAACCACCACCTACACCACCAACAACAGAGCACATGCACGTAATGACAAATTAATCAAAATGATGGCAGAGCAATACAAAGGAAAGGAAAATGCATCAGTAAGGAAAATGAGACATTATCAACATTCAAGAGTGAAAAAGAGATCTATCATTGAAAAACCGATCACTGACCTTCCATACTCAGAAACATCAAATTCATCCTACAAAGCCATTACAGGTCATATGCAGATGCAATTTGCACAGAGGGAAAAGGACCATTTGAATGTTCCCCACAAAAACAGGAACTTTTCCCCCAACAAGGTCAGAAGAAACATCAGAGATAGAACTTTGGGGAACAAACACAAATCATGTTCTAAATTGAAATCATCAAAAGCTACAGCTCAGAACATATCTGTGTCAGACTACTCAAAGACCTCAAAGCGAGTTCCCATAAAATCAAGAAAAATCATCATCATGAAGATAATGAAAGATTTTAGGAGAGGCAACCGTTGGGGGACATTCAATCACAACATAATATACAGCCAAAGCAATGTATGCAATGCTCCTGCAAAGTCTATACCTTCCAGCCCAACATCAGATGATAATGAACTTCTGAGAGGTAATCATTTTGAGAAGAAACATCTGAAGACACCAATTAGAGAGTTAGAAACAAATCCTTCTATGAGGGATGGAAATGAAAAGATCAACAAGGAGAAGCAGGTAGCTGATGCTGTTGACACAACCTCAACTTCGTCAGCCATAGAATTGATCAATGAAGAGGCTGCAAAATCCAGTTCTGGGACCACCGCAAGCAACTTTGTGGAAATCCTTCAACACATTGAGTAAGCACATGATCTGTCTACAAGCAGAACTTGCAACGAAGGCAAGCCACATAACACAGAAACATCTCAGGAAACCCAGAGTAATTCCACTTCTCCTCAGAACAAATTGCCTCCACCGAAATGTACCAATATTGTGGATATAAGTCAAGACAATGAGGGGGAAACTGAGTTGAAAAAACAGGAGGAGGATCTGCCGAAAGAAAAGGGATTACAAGCTGATACAGACTCTATCAAAGATGGGGAAGAGACCAATAGTGTTATAGCCCCTGCTAAAGAGAGAATTTCAGCTTCTGAGAACATGGAGTTTCCCTTAGATGCTGCCATCGAGATTCTTTGCAGCAGTGAGTTCAATTCAACCACACCCAAACCACATAAAGAGATGGCTCTGGTTTTGCAGCATACTTATGGTAAAATGGAGACAGAGAAAGCAGACACATCAGATAGAACACATTACTGCACCTCACAGGAACAAGAAGACCAAATCGACACACCTCCCAGGGAGGTGAAACTCATCACTACATTAAGAGATTACTTGACTAAATTTGAGTCCATTGTTAAGAAACCAGAGCCAAAGACATCAGATACACTCTGTGAAACTGTGGAAATGAACTTGCCACAGATTTGTGAAACTCTCCAGAATGTCAACAACCATAAGGAGCAACCAGTTCAACTGGTTGTCCTTGACAGGGTGGAGTTGCCCAATCTGAGACCAAATGCAATGCCTCTCCCAATAGAGATATGCAGTCTGATTATCAACACAGAGAATGACCTGATTCATAGTAAAGAACAGGAACAAGAGGCGAAAACAAGAGGTAACAACAAAGATTGTTATAGCATTCCTTGCATTAGCCCTGATAGTACTTCCTTGTTGGAAGTCCCTGAAAAGTCCACTCAAACTCCTATGGACAAGAAAACCACTGAAGTAGAAATCTCCACAACTGTACCTGACATTAACCATGATATTACAAATGCAGAAAATGATGCCTCAAAAGAATGGCAAAGACAGAAAAATTGCACTCTTGATGCAAACAACATGACCATGCTCAAAGCACTAGCAGAATTAGAACCTGAGTATTCAGAATTTTGTAAAACAAAAGAAAACGCCAACCAGAAGCCAACAACCCACATTGTAAAGCTGAACACTAGGTATTTTCATAGAAACTTCAGTGTGGCTGATATCTCAAACGTATTAATGCATGGAGACAAAGCTGCTTCCTTGGTTGAACTTTGCCCGTTGCGAGCCAAAAGCAAAGTCATGCTGCAGTACTTCAGCTTAAACTTTGAGAGAAAACAGAATGTTGAGGCCAATACAACAATCGTCTCAAGAGATCAGATTTTAGAGCGAAATCTGGAGTGTCCTCCTGTACCAATGGAACTGAAGTACGAGGCATTGAATTCTTTCCTGGATCTCCAGATAATGATGGAGGCCTGGCAGTTTGTAGATAACAAGATGCGATATTTGAGTGGACAATCTACATTTAGAAGTCTGCTGTGGTATGATCCCACCCTGTATGGGGAACTCTTTAAAGGGAAGATGGGATTTCAGCAGCAGTCCTCTTTTATATTCCTCTTTCCAACAAAGTATTGTCAATGAAGGCCCAATTGCATTGCAGAGGTACCATTTAGCTGTCTCTACATTGAATCAACAGCTGCAAAGGGCCCCAGAAATGTCTTACTACATGTATCTCAAAAGCAAAAGAGAAAGGCTGGAGATTGAGGCTGTATTACGAACTCCCTCAGACATACAGAACTTCTTCCTATCTATACCACTGTCTTGCATGGTCAATTTTGGCAACAGTGTGGAACGTTTACAGAGGGTCCAGGGGCTTGTGACTACTTTCACAGAGACTCCCACAGACAAGTTGGAAGCCGGATTCGATGTTGGAAAGGCAGAGCACCTTGCCATGGTGTTCCGATTTCTTCAGGAGAAAATCTGCTATTTGAAAGCTTGCAGCAACACGATGGTCAGCAAGACGTCTTGGTTTGGCATGGAACACATCTTGTATGACGCTTCGAAGATACTGGTGTGGAGGGACGCGAAACAGGGTGCGAAGCATGAGCCGCTGGCGAAATACAAGAAAGCAAATCCACAAATTGTCTATGGAGTGACCGAATCTGGTGTCTCACTGTCGCATACAAGCTTGTCAAATAGGACCCAGCTCATGGTTAAGACAGGGACCCCAACACAGAGAGTCAGACTGGCCAACAGAGTCTATCGAGCTAGAGGTCGGGGTCGGAGGAGATTGCCTATGGAGAATACTCGCTGTGCTGAGGTTTGTTGATTTATTTCCATTTTTTGGTAGATAATACATACGTATGATATCAAATAATTGAAATTGCCTTCAGTAACGTTTCCTATGGTGAGATTTTTCAACTAGTAAAAAGAGAACAATTGTACTGTGTTTTTATTGCTGTATGGTTTATTTTCCAGAAGAAACATGCTGAACATGGGTCTATGCCAGTAATAGACCTCACAAGATCGTAAGTAAATTAAAATGTTGGTTTGTGTCAATAGGCCAATGGGGCTCACTGTTATTTCCCTGGTGTATCAGAAGCAAAACATGGATTAACAAAGTAGCAATTGACATGTCATGTATTCGTACCGTAATAGAAATCACTAAGTAATGGTTTTGGATGAGGGAAAATATAAACACTTTCGATCATCTAACTTTTGTCTTTTTTTCTTCTCTCCAACTCAAGCCCCAACAGGGATAACCCAGATGTATACCACTTGGCCAAACCCCCAAACAACCCTGCAGCCCATTTCCAGGCTTGGACACACCAAGAGAACCTTGCCAAGAGCCAGGTAGTAAACTGGGTTGAAAGGTCACGTGATACGCATGCAATGGAGAGGAATATCCCTGCATCTTTCTTACCCCAACCTGTGCCACCCTACCCTGAAATCAGGGCCTGTCTAAGGACTAGTAAAACTGGGACAGTGCCAAACTCACAGATCCAGTTACCTGCCTCATTGGGAGGGGTAGGAAGTAAATCAGATGGGTGGCAACAGTGGACCCAAAGCTGGATCCCCAACAACCCCCAGAACACAACAGGAAGTGATCTGAGGCCAGTGCATCCTCTGTGGATTGGGGTTAGGGACAATGGTCATCCCCCCATCAGAGAGCATGTCCTATCAGAGCAAATTCATCAGTCTTCCTGGTCTAGTCTGTCTTCCTCTCCTCTCCAGCCTCCTCCATCTGTACCAGCAGGAAATACAGCGCAACAATCTCTGCGCTCCCTCCCACCTCTCACTAGCACTACAAAGTATGTCCCTCCCCTGTGTGAGCCCACTCCTATAAATTACCCCTTTTTCCTCCTGAATGGTCAGACCTATTCCACTGCCAATCCTGAATTATCCACAGCAACTAATAGCAAAGAGGGATTTCATCCCTATCCTACTTAGAGTAGTGCTGCTTCTTTATCAACTTTTATGGAGCAGGTTTGTCAAGCAAACAAGGACATTTTGAAAATGAGGAAGTGATGGTGTTTTCATGTTGAAATACTGTTCTGTGTCAGGAAACAAATATCAATCAAAAAAGGAGAAACTAAAAGGGGTGTTGGAAACTAACAGATTTGAGTTAATAAATGTTATGTTTAATTCAGGGCAATTCCATGGTAATGGAATTACACTATGTTTGACAAAAACGATTTATTTCAATGTTTAACAAACCATACGACTCTACGCACAAAAACTACTTTTAACAATTTCCACTAATACATTTACAAAAACAAATTTAGTGGAAGAACTCTGCAGATACAAACTTTGGTAACAGAATGATGATAAAATCTCCCTCAGGTTTTTATGCAACCACGTTTTCCAAATATCTGTTAAATATCTGCTCCGAATTAAGATTCAAAGATGTCTGCAGAAAGAATGGGGTGTCAGCTATGACATGACACCTTGAGTTTGAAAAAAATCAATTTTGATTATTGAACTACAGTAACTGAAGTGGATTTACACCCGGTAACAGAATTACGGAAACGGAATTACATCATGGGTCCCTGAACTGTACTACACAAAAATGCATAATTATGGATATGAATGTAATTCTCAAGTTTGGACATCACATAGTGCACAGCAGATCACAGTAGAGTACAGTTCAGTACAATATAGTTCGGAACAGTAGAGTTCAGTACATTATACTGTACTCTACTGTAGTGTGCTCTACTGTACAGTATTGCACTGCACTTTACTGTACTGTGCTATACTCTAACTATAGTATAATTGTCTGTACTGTACTGTACTGTACTCTAATGTGCTCTACTCACTGTACTGTCCTGTACTGTGCTATCCAAACTTGTGAAACGTGTCTATGATAGGTTCAGATTTGGTCCAGTCTGATCCGTCTGTGGGTGTTGAAATCAAGGCCAGGGTGGACTGACCAAATTTCAACTACTTTTCAACGTCCATGGACGTCCGGTGTCGGTCGGTGCTCAGTGGGTGAGGATAGTGGTTACAGTAAATGGAAAGACAGGGGGCTCATGGGTAGGTGTCCGTAAGAGCTGGGAGAGGTGACATTAACTGGAGAGTGAGAGAGAAAGGCAGAGAGAGAGAGAGGGAGAGAGAGAGGGAGGGGTTGTCCAGACTCAGACTGTTCTAACACTCTTGTTGTGACCACCAGATGACAGAAAGACAAAGAAAACACTTATGAGCTGAACATAACAGTATACCATTGGAAGGGAGGACAGTAGCAGATGACACAACTGTGGTTTGTGACTATTATGATTTCCCATTGTAGCCAATTTAGTTGCAGTAATTCCATTATAGATGTTTTGGTAATATCTGTTACCGATTTGGTAACATAATTACGAGTTTTAATCACTTAATAATTCATAAACAAAATCGATATCAGTAAAATCACTATAACTAATTAGTACTGTAGTTCTACCTTTACTTGTTGCTTCTGTGAAGTTTCATTAACCTCCCTCATGAGGGAACAAAATTAGAAAATATCTTAAAGATATAAACGTTTTTGGTAACGGAATTACAAGGCAATATTTATTATTTTCTCCAAAACTAAATATAAGTGTTGATGTTAATTGGCAGGGGTCTTTACTTCAACATTATTTTGTTTTGATGTATTTCTAATACCTTAAGACATTTTCTGGTAGATCTTTTCCATCTGTTTAACCAGAAATCAAAGCCTTTACTCATGCCTAATTTTTCAGATGGAAAATGGTTGAAAAATGTATCTATGCCTTCATTTCCAAAAGATATAGACTCTTAGCTTTCATTTTACACCCAATTTGATATGTTCCTATGAACTTTATATGTTGGTCCTCATGGGGTCTTTTTGATGGAAATGCCCTTCTCTACTTGAAGTTAATTAAATTTTTGTGTTTCATGTTTATTGTTGTAAAATATTTTTTAATTGTTGTAAGTATTTGTGTTGTATATACTCTCAAACACGTCAATTGCTGATAAACAATATCTGATTGAAAGTGTCCTATTTGCTGACCAAAATGAACTGTATAAAGTGGATTATAAGGTAATTTGTAATTATAATATCTAATTGTAAATACTATTATTTAAGTATTTTCTTAAACTTTAAAGACCCCTTTTGTTTATTACCTTGTTTGTATTACTCAGGATTGTGTGTGCTTGACATGTTTACTGCTTGAGGCTTTCTTTTGTAATAAAGCACAATATTTGCTAACTTAACCCTCAATAACTATTACCCCAGCAGAGAATGTAAATGTTGTATAGGTTTACTGACAAATAAATTATGTATTTGTACAAATCCATTACAATGTTGTTAAACAAATGCTTATTTTATATACTTCATTAGAAAGATGCTATTATCTGTCATCGGAACAAAATGACCGAACCAGCAGCAGCCTCAAAAAGAAAAACTCAGTTAAGACTTGGTGGAACCAAAGACTTCAAATACAGCCCCCATCTAGCTCTGACGGCTACTTTACCTGCACCATTGACAGTGCCAAAGTTTCAGTCACATTGGTGCCGTGACCTGGATCTCTGCAAGGAGGAGGAGGAGGTCAGAGGGGGGTGAAGTGTAACGGAGGTGGTTCGGTGACCACGCTTGTGTAATAACCTTGACTAAACCTGAAAAGGTGCATTCATGCCATCGCCTATAGACTTTGGCTTGGCTAATGCACTCTTCTGCCACGCAAGAGAACCATCTGGCCCAGGTTCGAACTCAGTAATAATAAATTGGTGATTGCTTATATTTGTCCTGTTACACACTAGTATAAGTACGAAGTTAAATGTGTTTCTTGCACATCCCAATTCCCCCTGAGACACCTGTTGAGCAATTGGGGTTAAGTGCTCAAGGGCACAGCAACAGGTTTTTCACCTTGTGGGCTCTGGGTTTTGAACCAGCAATCTTTTGATTATTGGCCCAACGTTCTAACCTCGAGGCTACCTGCCACAAGAGTATAGTCTGCTTAGTCTAGTCTCCAGGGCCCCGTTTTTTAAAAGTTATGTATCTGGATTTCACATATGGGACAGGATTAAATGCATAGAAATAGAATGAATAGAACATAAGTCTCCATTCAAGTCAATGATTCGTCGATTCTATTTCTATGCATTTAATCCTATCTGATAGGCAAAATCCAGACAGATAACTTTGGAAAACTGGGCCAGGCTACCGATCATGCCTCTTTTGTTTTCTACTTCTCATCTTCCTATTGCAGTATTTGGTTAATCCTATTGTCTTCAAGGAGGCCCCCACAGTTTCATCACCTCCAACGTTCTAGAAATAACAATGTGATGACGTTGATCAATATTGTGTGGTAGCCAGGCTCAACAAGAGAAGATTCTGAACATGGAAAAAGATGAAAAGCCATGTCCATGGTGCTTATGCTAGATTGAGGGTCATCACTGGGGTCCCAATATCTATGTCCACAGATGATATTCAAGAAAATGTGAAGGGAGGCAGAGTGAGTGATGCCAAAAGGTTGATCAGTAGGAAAGAGGGTCAAAGACCTGAAAGCTTATCAGTGATGCTGAGGTTTGAGAAAGTCTTCCCAGGAAAAGGGCAGACAGGATTCCTTAGTTTCAACGTTAGAGAATTTGTCCCATATGCACTGTGGTGTTTAACATGCCAAAGAATGGGACATGTAGCCGCTCAGTGTAAAGGAAGGAAAATATATGCCAAGTGCGGAGGGGCACATGATTACGGTGAATGTGGAAGCAATGTGAAGGTTAAGTGCTGTAATTGTGGGGGAGAACACTGTGCAGCATTTGGTGGATGCCAGGTACAGAGAGAGCCTAGAGAGGCTCAGAGATATAGGACCAGTCATATGCAAAGGCTGTAAAACAGATTGGTAGAACTACAGTGTGGACTGATGGAGCTTACATGGATGTACCTGTAGTAAGTGGACCTACAGTCGGGGCTGGTGCTTCTGATGGTCCTGGCATGGTTAGGTATTTATTTGGCTTTGAATTTTATTGTAGTACAGAATTGGGCAGACCATGATTGATCGTACATTCCAGCACAGTAGGTGGCGGAATGCACTTTAAACGTTTGTTTGCGGACCGCCATGATATTATAGAAGAAGAAAACGATTACGTCAATCTGAGCTAGGCAAATGCTGAGCGGCCATTACACAGCGAGATTCCTTTGTAGGGGGGCGAAAGGGAACTAGCAGTGCCGAGAAAACAGGGACGTCCCTGCCGCACCACACGGTGTATACGTGGGACATACAAATAACAGAAAGATTAGCTAGCTTTGTAGTGAGGATATCGGTACCGATAATAATCACTGATTATCTCGTTGATGATAGATCGAGAGCTGCGCAGCGTTCTAAGTTAGCTACAACACCAGCCATAGTACGGTTGTCGTCTTGAGTTGAGTCGAAGTTGGGCGAAATAACGGTTGTTTAATTACTTCACCATATCCACTAGTTAGCTAAAAACGGCGTATCTGATCAGTTTTCAAAATGGACTATAAAGTCTTTACAAAGGAATTAGACCAGTGGGTCGAGCAACTGAATGAATGCAAGCAACTGTCGGAGAATCAAGTGAGAACGCTCTGTGAAAAGGTAAGTACATCCAACTGAGTGTGTTTCTTCAATGCTAGCGATGTTAGCTAGCTTCTCACCGGTAACTAGCGGACGTGTACAGTTTGTATGTCAGATAGCTACCTCTCCCTGACCGAGTCTGTAATACCTACATGTTTCAATCAGGCCACCATAGTCCCTGTGTCCAAGAAAGCGAAGGTAACCTGCTTAAATGACTACCGCCCCCTAGCACTCACGTCGGTAGCCATGAAGTGCTTTGAAAGGCTGGTCATGGCTCACATCAACACCATCATCCCGGAAACCCTAGACCCACTCCAATTCGCATACCGCTCCAACAGATCCACAGATGACGCAATCTCAATCGCACTCCACACTGCCAATTCCCACCTGGACAAAAGGAACACCTATGTGAGAATGCTG